CAACAGCATCAAAATAATGTCTTTTGAAGTTTTGCTTGCTATTTAACCCATCTACGATCTGAGGTCCGCTGGAGTAATGCAAGGTCATTGCCGACCACTATTTAAATGCTGTAGTGTTCTTTATTTCCATTCTGAAAAACGAATTTCTTTCCGTTTTGCTTGGACAAGTATCGTGTCAGCGTTTATTCGCCACTATGGAACTTGCTGCTTAGGACCACTCTTGCCGACGCCTGCCGGTCAGTCTGGTTAATACATATTCTCCAATCGGGTCAGTGACCATCCTGCGAGCGGTCCTCGGTTAGTGACCTGTATGTCGCGCTGATCTGCGGGCTGTCGCCCTGGTAGCGCCTGGCTGCCCGCTCGGTCGCCGTGATAGCGCCGGCCCCGCCTGCCCGCCCGACCGGCTGGCCGGCGCGGCGCGGCGGTGCGGGCCGGTGCTCTGTGTCCGCTGACCGGCGGCAGCGGCACTGCACCGGCGCGCGGCCCCCTGACCTGGCGGCGGTGGCGGCGGCGGTGGGCGGCGGCGCGGCAGTCGGTGTCGGGATGCCGCCATGACGGATCCGCCGCCGGGCCCTGCCGACTGCAGCAGCCCCCTGCTCACCCGCAGACGGTCAGTGGACAGGGAGACGGGCCAGGAGCCCACCCAGTGCTGGTCATACGGTCAGTGGACGGGGAGACGGGCTGAGGACTCACCTGCAGTGCTGATCAGACGGTGAGATGGGCAGGGGGCCCACCCAGTGCTGGTCAGATGGTCAGTGAGGCGGGGAGACGGGCGGGGGGCTCGTGCAGTGATAGCCAGTGCTGAGGATATGTGCTGGGGAGACGGTCAGTGCGCGGACGACGGTGTGCTGTCTTGCCTTCTGTGTGCTCCTTGGTGTAAGGCAAGCTGGCAGAGATCGTAGTGACGGGAACGGATGGACCGGTGACTTGCAACTGGGTCCAGTATTATCAATGCCGTAGAAGACTTGGCAGCACAGTTCAGCTGCAGAAAATTGTTTTTAATGTAAAATGTGTTTTACGCATTTCATTCCATCGTGTAGGTACTGACTTTCCACGGAATCGTTTCGTCGACTCGGATATCTATGCATTTCCCAACACCAGTATCGTGATACTTGTTGCCAAATGCCGTAACTAGGAAAGTTCGATCGTGCTCTATTTTCCTGTATGACTTTCAAGGTCTGTCCTTTTTTAACAGCCGGCTAGAATTAAAATTTCAACATCGTATGAGTTGTCAGTCGTCACTAGTCGTCGTACTATCAAACTTTGGCCGTGTCCGTTTACCCCACGCCCCGGTCGTTCCGAACGCTGCTTTGGCCGGTGTCTGTGGACCGATTCCTGATGAGGGGCGGTTCGGCGCCGCCCAGCGCGGGCACACTGCCGTGGGAACGGGCCGGTGGGCGCCGACAGACGAGCTGATTGGGACGACCGACGCACCACCGGGCAGTGGGACGACCTGCGCGACACGCCACCGAGCCTTAGCGTGGGACGACTGGCCCGGCATGGCTGTGCTATCCAGCTACTACGCTCCTGTCGTCGTTCGTGTTGTGTCTCCTATATGTGATCGATTTTCCCTCTATAACGCTGTTACAGCGATAATTAAAACAGACCTAACCAGTTTGCTGAGCTAATGCGGTGAGCGGGTAAACCCTGAAGTGTGTCCTGTCGCCCTCCACGCCCTCGCGGCCGCCTGTAACGCTGCTCCATTGTTGTCCACCTCGGTGGAACTGTCACACGGCCTGCACCCGCACGTGCGCTGCGACCCTGTCCTGTCATTTGTTACCTTCGGCACGTACGGGTCATTATTGTTGCTGCCAGTCACCGGAAGTCGCCGCTGTCGTGCTTCTGTGACCTTGCTGGCGAGTGGGTCACCCTGCACTGGTTCAGCATAATCCGTTTGCAGTCCGGCGATTTTGACCCGTGTCGCCTGGCGTGAGGACGTCCTCGGCGGCCGCACTCGGGGGCTATATTTACCGGGTCGACGAGCCGCGCCAGCCGGCCGACGATCGACTTCAGCCGAGGTCGGTGTGTCGGCCAGCGGCCGTGGAGAGGCGCGACACCGGTGGAGACGGCAGCGATCGACCCTGTCGGGGGTCAGCGGGTCATACCATCGACCTCGTACAGGGTCAGCGGGTCACGCCATCGACCCCGTCCGGGGTCAGCGGGTCACACCATCGACCTCGTATAGGGTCGGTGTGTCGAATGGTTAACCCCGTACAGGGTCGACGGTATGACCCGCGTACAGGGTGCGTTGAATGGTCGACCTCTTACGGAGTCTCTGTGTCGAATGATTGACCATGCGCTGGGCCAGCGAAGCGGTCAGCATTGAACCGAAACATGGCGATAGAATCGGTGTTATATGTGATATACCAGGCTGTTTTCCTTTGCCAGTCAATCGCATCAAAATCCGCCGGTTTCTTTACTTTTATGTGCTGATTACTCGCCGCCCATTGCTACACAGAGACACGCTGTACCTCGATTCAGAACACCGATGAAATGTTTCAGCTACGCCTCATAAGTGTTGGCCTAAGTCTATTTGAGTCGCTCAAAAGTCAAACAGCTACTGAATATTGGCGGACGCTGGTTGATGGAAGAAGGGTTGATGTTGTTTTATCCCAATCCGTCCCGTCCTTTTTTTATATGTAAATTGTTCGCAGTTTTTGCAGTCCCACATCGAATTATACCCATCTTCTCTCATACAAGTTGCAATACTACAACACAGGCCGCGAACTGTTGTGATGACTCAGTCTGCATTAAACATCGCCGCCTGCCCGGCTGTCGTTTTTCAGCCGTGCTCCGGTGAAGTAGGTCAGTGTTCGCTGTCGGCGCCGACGGCCGCCGGTCGCTGCGTCGGAGTCGGCAGCCGGAGCCGCGCGTCGACGCCGACTTTAAGCTGGCATCGATTCATAAGGGGCGAGTCGGCGGCGGCGGCGGGCGGTCCCGGTTTATCATGTGAGCCACTGACGTCATGTCGGGCGGCGGGATGAGCGGAGCGCGTCAGACCGTTCGGCACGGCGTGGCGCCGGCACCCGATAGAGGGGTGTGGTGGTCCGCGGACGGCGGAGCGGGGACTGACGTGCCGCGGACGGGCTTCTTGGTAGGCTCGGGAGTTCCGGGAGGGTCGGGAGTGGGGAAAAGTGTCGGGAGGGCGGCGGCCGGCACTGGTGTGCGGTACAGTCCTGTCCCACCGTGTACGCTGTCTGTCGTTGCCAGAAGCCCAGAAGTGACACAGCAGTGGCCTTCTGCCGGCCGGCTGAGAGGTCCGGGGCGCCGTGCCGTCTGGACTGCCATGGCCCCGACGGCAGCCAGCCTCTGCGGCCGCCGCTGTCGACACATATGAGCAGCTATATTGGGCCGCTGACGAATGTGGCACTGACGGCCCGGCCATGGGCTCGTGGTGTATGCAAACGACCCCACTGATGGGCGCTGGCTCGTACAGCATTTACATGCTGGGCAACTGGCCGCAAAATCGCCAATAATATACTACCGAGCTCTATGGCGCAGGCGTGCCGCGAGCTGATGTCACCCGAACAGCTGCCTTAGAACGGTAAATGCAGTCGTGTTTAGATATGAAAGCCAAGATCTCGAGCTTACTCTGTCGTGAAATTGTACCCGATTTCACGGGATTGAACTCGATCTCCAAATATTGACTGAACATTAGTTTCTTTGATTCCACTTCGTCAGCTTTCTAAGTCCTCTTCTCAGGCCAGCCAAACAGCGCCTAATGGGTGGCTGGGCTGGAGGCGGAGCTGTGCGGCACAGCATCCCATCAGGCGTTTTCCACTAGTGACATCTAGCGACAGCGATATCAGGGGAGTCGGCCGTTGGGAAAGTGCCTATTTTTCCAACGGTTTCTGCCTAATGCCAATTGCGCCGGGTGCATTGCTGAAAAGAGGAAGCTCTGACTTCTGAGAATATTTCTCGATAGACACTGAGGCAAATGAAGGATGGTGACATGGCAACTGTGATAAGAGCTACTTCGAAGCTACTTCGAACGCAAGCAATGAGGAATGAGATCTTACCTACCTAGGAATGTGGATTACATTTCGTCGACCAATCTTGATACCGTTTGGTTCATGGCTGTGACAAAGTGTACGCCCTTGTCAGTTGTTTTCGTGTAATTGCTTGCGGTTTCTTATGAAGCATTTCGCTTTTGTGTTACTATCGGCTATCGCACTTAGTATCTCGGTTACCTTAGCTACATCAAATACACTGTACTAAGATGTCGGGACTGGTTCCGTTTTATCAATCTGTACTAAGATGTCGGGACTGGTTCCGTTTTATCAATCCAAGCAACTCTGCCGTTTTTTCCTGTCGGCTGTCCGACCTTTTTTCCGTTGTCAACTTGATGATAAATCTGCCGCATAATTACCCAATTTCGAGAGTTTGACTCTGACCCGGACACGAGTCTGTTTGTGACAAGCTCGGTCCAGCCCACTGGCCACTACATTCATCGATACGACCAAAATGCGCCCTTAACTCCTCTCATTAGCACGTTGATGGCTCTGGTTTACCCCACCACCTCTAGTCGCACACGTTGATAATCCCGCCACGGTTCTTATCTGCCGTGTGTGCGTGGCGTCTCTCCCACCTCTGTCGGCCCACTGATCTGCTAATCTTGGCTCCCTCGCCGCTTGCGGTAAGGGCCATTCAGCCCGTGTCCCGGTGACCGATCAGCCGGGCGTGGCGGCCACACACGGGAGATGTCGGCACTCGCCTGTCGTCAGCGTGGTATTGACGGAATCGACCCGTCGACCGACGGCGGCATCCCCCTCCCCCTCCTCTGCCCGCCCCGCCCGGCAGCCGTCATCTCGTGGTGGTCGCCGCTCGCCATCCGTCGATCGATTCCCGACTCTGTGCGCGTGCCTCGGCTGCCCCCGGGGCACCGAGGGGCTGCGCGCCGCGCGCGCTGCACTATTTATAACGGCGTGATATGACGCATGCCGCTGCCGGCCAACCCGACCCCGACCGGAGTCTGACCTCATCTCATTGTCTGATTGCAGGGAGCAACCCATCTTCTCCTGTAAGGCGCACGTGTTTCACATAGACCCCAAGACGAAGCGGTCATGGATCCCGGCGTCGGCCTCGGCGGTCTCCGTGTCGTTCTTTTACGACTCGACGCGCAACCTGCACCGTATCATCTCCGTGGAGGGCACAAAGGTACGACGGGCGGGCATCATAACCGTGGAGGGCCAAAAGTACGACGGCAGTTGTAATCTCCGTGGAAGGCACAAAGGTACGACGGGTAGTAATCATCTTTGTGAAGCGCATGAAGTTACATGGTGAGAGTTTCAGCTTCGTGAAATTGATTGAGATACTCAAAATAAGGCAGATTTTTTGTGTTTATCATTTGATTTTTAAACAAGTTACTTGTTAGACCTTTCATTATACATTTGTGCATTTCTTACGCGTTTTTATCTCACGAAATATAATGTATCGCCAAGTGTCTTTACCTACGTCTATGAATCGACTTTGTCCTTGTGCTCCTTTGGTTTGTTCAGTAGTTTAAGACCCCTAGGCCTCATCTGGGCCAATGTCACCCTGTTTGGTCGCTTATCGTCCCGTCTCTGTTCCGCTCTGTCACCGTCTGCCGGATGCTGGCGATCCGTCCCAAACAGTCCGGCCTTGGCGGGCTCCTCTGGGGTAGAGTCACCGACCCGAACGCCGCCAGCGCCGTGCCCGCCGGGGTCACCAGAGAAGAAAACCGCCCGATGTCGCCCTTGACGGATGGCTCGGCCGATCGATGCGTGCCCGGGTCCCCGCGCTGGCTGTGGTGGACGGCGCGGGCCAAGGCTGGGTGTCGTACTATCTGTGGTGTACAGTACGACGCTGCTGGGTGACGGACTCTCTGTCTGTGGTGGACAACATGCCACTGCTGGTTGGTGGACAGCATGCCACCGCTGGGTGGTGGACAGCAGTCAGTGCTGGGTGGTGGACAGCAGTCAGGACTGGATCGTGTGCTGTCGTGGGTGAACAGCAATCACTACTGATGAGTGTGCTGTCTGTAGCGAACAGCAGTCATTGCCTGGGTGGTGCGCTGTCTGGGCGGTCGACTGTCTGTGGCGCTAACACGGCACAAGTCTCTCACTATATGTCCAACCGGTGGTTTGTGGGTGCTGCCGACTGACACGGGACCACCCGAGGGTGCGCGCTGCATGGATGTGGTCAAGCAACGGTGCAGCATGTGAAGGGAGATGGCCGACCCGACTCAACCACAACTCCACAGCAGTGCAGTGCCGGGTCGCTGGGTCGACCTCAGCCTGTCTGCGGGCGCGGGAGGTCGACCTTTGACTTGCCGCGGCCTCCCTCTGCCGGCGCCGGCTGCACCGTTCCGACTCTCACGGCCGGCGCTGGAATACCTCCGAGCTGTCGGAACGGAGGTGAAACGTCCGACCCGACCGCTCTGATAGACCCTCCGTGACCTGCCGCTCGGCGGGTCGCCGGGTCACCGTGTAGGGTCACCGATCTCCGGATCCGCGGTGTCGGTTCACCGGTGACTGCGGTCGACACGCTAGTCGGCGCGTCACCGGGAACGCTAATTAATGTTTCACGGAAGAGTTGGAATTCCGGCCCGGCTGATGCAAGTCTGTGTAACACTTATGAAGCCGTGTATCTGGTGTGAACTCTTTGCCCGATTTGTAACGTGGACCACCGCCAGTCGGTGGTGGAAAGGTAGAGGTCCACTTCATACAGTCGCCACTGCCTCTAGAGGTGGTCAGTTGGCTCCTCGGGAAGGGGGAGGGGGTGGGGGCTCCGGGGCTCCGTACCGCGGCTATCGCGTGACCCCACTCCATCCGTGTCTGGAGACCGACTGCCGGGCGCCGGAACCGCCGGCTCGCCGCCGTTCCGCGGCCGCGCTGATTCCGACAGGCCACTGCAGAGCGGTGAATTTTGCAGCGGCTCGCACTGTGTCCGCTGAACGGCGTGAGACGGGCCTCCGTCACGCGCAACGCGCTTTAGGGGGGACGAGGGGGGGGACGAGCGCTCGTCCTTCAAGTGCGTCGGTCCCTTTCGACAAATGACTGCCTCCCGTCAGAGGTAGCTATCCACCTTTCCCTGGGATTAGAGCTGTGCTCATTTATCGCGTATATCACTATAATCGCTCGTATTGCTGCTGTCCACGATTGTTGATAGTTGCTATCTATCTGCCATATAAATGCTACAACTGTGTTTCACCAGGCTGTATCTCATGTTCTATCCCCATGGCACGTTTTGTGACGCTTCCCATTGGTGTCTCTCCAGGCCGTCATCAACTCCACCATCACCCCCAACATGACCTTCACCAAGACGTCGCAAAAGTTCGGCCAGTGGTCCGACGTACGCGCCAACACCGTCTACGGCCTCGGCTTCGGCACAGAGGCTGAGCTCAACAAGGTTAGTGCGCAGGCCCACAGGCGCTTCCGTTCTGGTTGTTGACTTGTCTGTGTCCTACTTTAATTGGAGCAGATAAGATGAAGGGATAAGAACTTGATATGATTGTGAATTATTTAACAGTTTTACCGTAGCGACCGATCTGTTGTAAGATCAAAACAAAGTCAAATGCGGCATCAACATGCCATACAAGTAGTTCGACTGATGTATTGCGTGACTTTGTTTGAAAGAGGCCTTGCTATTAGGCAAGATTTGTTCCTGTATGTTTGATGCAAGTGTTTGATGCAGTCTTGCAATGCAATCCAGCCACCCAAGAAACTTTGCGCGAGACGTTTTCTTGGATGGTTTTCTTGGATAGCTTGATTTCATCGAGGGCTTCTGTTTTAAAGAAAATTTGTAAGCTTTGCTGAACTGTTGAGCAATTAGAACTGCCAGTATTTCAGTATTTAACGTGTAGTTAATGTTACTGTATTTTATTTATGCATATTTTGACCTTTTTTAAGCAAATAACGAACGATATTAAGAAACATACAGGAAAAAATATCTAGGACTCTACCGCGACGAAATATTTCTATCTCGAGTTTTCAAAGAATTCCATGCACTCGGCCAAGGCCTCGTGCATGAAATCCTTTGAAAACTCTCGATAGAAATATTTCGTTTTCGCGGTATCGTCCAAGAATGTATATTCTTTAGCTGAGTGGTTTCACGTTGGATATAGCTTGTACGCCTATATGCGATCAGGAGACGGCCATTGGTGGCATGTAGAGGTGCTGACGTCTTGACATTGGACGCTGATTTGGCAGTTAAGTGGGTGGCCATGGGAGTAGGACCCGCTGTCGCTGAACGTGTCCTCTAGTCTGATCCGAACCTGACCTGGTCGTCACGTCCATCCCGTGTTCCAGTTCATCGAGAAGTTCCAGGAGATCAAGGAGGCGACACGGCACGCGCCGGCCGGCTCGGCGCCCAACGGCACCAGCTCGACGCCGACCACCAGCACCAACGCGTCACCAGTGATCGCGCGCGCCGTCAAAATGGACCAGGTGCGGGGACCGGGGCCGTCCGCCGTGCTGGGCTGGGTGGGAGGGTTGGTGGGTAGCCGTCGGGTTAGTGTGTCGAGCAGGTGTGCTCAGTGGGAGGTAAGGTAGACGCGAGTAGCGGCGTGCTGTGCGCTCACGGACGGGGCTCCGCCGTGTGTGTCTGTGTGTGCTCGCGGTCGGAGCGGCGGCGGCGCGCGGTGGCCGGCGGCGGTCTCCACTAACCGACACTGCCCTCTAGGTGGACTCGTACCTGCCGCCGCCGCCGGCCGGTGAGCTGGACCCCAAGCAGGCGGGCGCGCTGCACCAGCGCAGCCACAGCCTGTCGGGACTGCAGCAGGTAACCGCCCGACGGGCCGGCCGCCGACCCCCACCCTCTACCCCCCTCTGCCTCCGACACCGCGTCAGATCCCTCTCTGCTTCGTCCACTGCAGCTGTTTGTTTTATACACTTCCGCCAATACTTGGTATGCTTCTTATGTCGGTTACTCCTGCGGTGCATTTACGTTTCTCTTGTGTCTTCTTTGTCTGCTTTTTGGTCCTTATGTTCTTTCCGTCCGCTGCATGTTCCATCTCCCCCGTCTATTGCCGCCTTGGTTGTATGTTTCGGTACACTCGCATTCTCCTGATCGACTGCCACTTCCCATCAGCTCCTCTGCGTCCCCGATTTTCCCCACCGAGGCCCGCCCCGTCCCCAGACACCCCCTTCCTCCCCTCCCGCGGGTCGGCGGCGGCCGGGGCACTTCTCTTCAGCAGGTGCCGGCTGGTGGCTGTCGGGCGCATGCTGGGGTAGTCGGCGCTCTGTACCCCTCTCTGTGTGGATCGGACGGCGGACTCTGCCCCCGGGGCCGGCTCCGGACCGGTGACCGCGCCGGGCGGGCCGCGTGGTCCGTATCCGCGGCCAGCTCCCTCCCTGTACCATCTGCTTTGGGACCTGGTGTCGAGGCCGGCCCCCCGCTGTCGGCCCCGTATGTGTGTGTGTGCGGATGGGTGGACGAACGCTGACGGGCTTCTGCAGACTGCAATATGCATCCCGGCATCGTCACATTTCGGAGTTGTATAGTGGCGCTTGCAGCTGAGCCTGTACGGTTTTTCAACGGGCTCGACAGTTTCTCTTTTCTTGTTACCTCTTGACCTGTACCCTGTCATGTCGTTGGAGCATGAATCTTCGTGTTTTGTACTAACGGGCATGCACTCCATATGTTATATTGGCTCGTCCAAAAAATCACGTTTTTGAGGAGTATTTTGGTAAGGGTCTGTTTTATTAAATGATTTTGTCAACTTGGTCTGTGCTAAATACGCTAAACACTTGTGGCCCCGTCAGCTTGATAACTTCGGTCATATTCTGGTTACTTAGTAACGATGTAGTTCGTAGACCCCGATCGAAATTGGGTTAGACTTTTGTCAGTTGTTCGGTAACCAGGCACGGGATATGATCGTCCAATATCATGAGCTAAGTTGTGCATCACCGTGCTCGATCCGGCGATACCCTACCCTATGTGCCGTCGTACCCTGCCCTCTGGAACCCCATAGTGATCTGACGCACCTTGCCCGGTCCCTGTGACGAGATGATGACCTGTCATACCCGCTCCGTGACCCCGTGGCTACCCCGCGATGACCCCTGACCTCCGTGGTGACCCGGTGTCAACAGCAGCCGTCGGAGAGCCCCAAGCACGAGCTGAAGGGCGGCGCGTCGCCGGCGGCAGCCGCCGTCGGACCGTCACCGGCAGCATCCTCCAGCGAGGCGCAGCTCAAATACGAGAACGACAGACTCAAACTGGCGCTGGCACAGAGGTGCGTATAGTGATACTGTACCGTACTGCACGGCACGTTTTGTAGTGTGCCGTACCGTACTGCAACGTACCGTACAATGCTATGTATTGCGGCGCATCGATAATGTCGTGCCGTGTCGTGTTGTACCCATTCGTCCAGACAACAGTGCTGAGCCCGGCTGTGGTCCTATGGGCTGGCTATAGCGACGCATAGCCGCACAATGCCGGCTGGTTCAGCCGCGCTTTCCCTTCTGGTTGAGTTGTCCTATCCAGGCTGGTTCAACCCTACTGTGCCGGCTGGTTCAGCCGTGCTATCCCGTCTGTTATCCCGGCTGGTTCAGCCGCGACTCGCCGGCCCGCAATAGCCAATCACAGCTGTCGGCACAAAGCGCCGGCCGCTGACAGCCAATCAGCATACGGGAACGGAATGCAGCCGCTCGTGAAACGAATCGCGTTGACTGAATGAATAATTGAAAATGGTGTAGTTTCGTCATAAAGTTCGTATTCAGTCAGTTTACTGTCGTGCGAAAATTTCATTAGCGGGATGCATTTTATTGTACGGATGTTTTGCCTTTTCTGGACTGTAGATGGAAATTTTCCCCAAACAGCATTATGGTATAAACTCGTAGAAACTTTAACAGGTCATTTCTAAAACTGGCTTTCTATTTCGTTGCGGCAGGCTCACGTGCGAGAGGAAGAGCTTTGAACTTTGGTGAAGAAGTTTGTGAGGTTCCATGTCACTGGCACGTGTCCGCTGTTGGCGTGTTCCCTGCCCGCTCATCTGTCGTCCGGCTCCGGGCTGACTCCCCGGTGGTTCAGTTGCCGGAGAGCTGGAGCGATGCAGTGCCGGTGGCTTCATTGGGTCTCGAGTCAGTCACTATTTTACACGTATGATGTTTTTATATCAGGGCGAAATCAGAGAAAGACACTATGGTTCCTATCATGGGTGCCTTATGATTTTTTTTTGTATTTGCAGGCCAACTACCTTGCAAAACTTTTGTTGCGCGGTTTGTTCAAATACTGACGTTCATTTTATAGCTATATTTCATTTTATTAATTATATTCATTTTATATTAATTCATATTATTCATTTTATAGTTTGGTTTGCCTCGTCAGATAGAAATTACGAGTACCCAACTAAATCTAAATTTCAGAACACCACTGATCTAAGTTTTAGAACACCACTGATCGAAATTTTAGGACACCCTCCCGAGGCATCGGTTCCATCGGATCCTCGTTGGTGCGCCATTGGGGGCGTCATTGGGGGCGTCCGGCTGCGGTGTCTGCCGCTGATGACAAGCGACACGTGTAGTATACGAGGGGCGCAGGGGTGGTCTGATGACCGGGGAGGCCACTGATGTCTGGTTCTCGTCGTCTAGAGCAGCGCCGCAGCGCGAGCAACGGCCGGCGAGGGCCTGTTTAAAGAGCTTAGAACGGAACTGACGTACAAGGTCAGTTCCATTCATAGGTCAGTTGGACATTTGGAGGCTGTGTCCGATGCTGGAAAAACAGCAGCAAGAGTAAAAGGACCTGAAGATATATCGCGTGGTCAACCCGGGCTGGCGTTCTGTGTGCCGTCGTCTCCTCTGTTCTAACAGCCGCGACCAGTATCCATGCAGTACCCACCCACACACTCGGCCCTGTTCAGACAGTATGTGGGACCGTCTCTGGCGCTGCTCCCTCCCCCTCCCCCCTGGCGCCGGCGGAAATTACACGCCGGATAGCGGGCCGGCCGCCGCTGCCCGGACCACGCTGATGAATGGCGCCAGCCGCTCCGACCACTCTCCGACAACTGCGGTGGTCGGAGCGGGACACCCAGTGCTCTTACCTGACCAATGTCACTGGAAGTCGTGATCGGTTTGGTCTGCTCAGCTTGCCCTTCGCGTTGATTTAGCTTCATCGCCCATCTTTTCAAGCATGGGCGCCGGTGACCATCGCAGTCGGGGCTCCTTAAAACCTAAATCATGATCATCATATCTTCAAGCTGCTGCGCTGCCTTTCTAACTGTATCTGACGAGCCCGTGAAGGTAGATGAGTGGTCTTTCACTTGGCGTTCTATATTCAGTGTGTTTTGTCCTTGTTTCAGCTCTGCCAACGCCAAAAAGTGGGAGGTAGAGCTGACGACTTTGAAGACCAACAACGCCCGGCTGACGGCCGCCCTGCAGGAGAGCACAGCCAACGTAGAGGAGTGGAAACTGCAGCTCCAGAGCTATAAGGTACGGGACAGTCTGGACTGTAGGCTGTTGTAAGGCGCACAGACGCCGGAACTGACCCTGTTAGACATCGACATTGACACAAACACAAACACAGATACAAAACAGAAACATAGCAACCAGACGTGACTCAGTTCGACACTGACGGGATTTCTGTAGTTCGGATGCTCTGCATACAGTTAGTTCACCCCCAGTAGGGCTTACTACGCCCACCATGCGAGCTTAGTCTCGTGAAGATGCATTACAATCTCGATACGCCATTCCTCTACCGTCCTCATACCGTTCACGACGAAATGCCTACTCCCCATTGCTGCAACTATGTGAATAAGTAGCACTCCAGTGAACCGTTGCTGCGGGGTTGATGTTACGCAGCACGATGTTTCTCTGTATTGCGTGACGCGTGCCGTTCCGTAGCGACTCGCCATCCCAGCTGGTGCATTTCTTACTGAATCTTGGCCACGGGTGGCTCCCCGTTCCCTCTCGTTGACTCTCCACCCCGCCTCACGCCGCTCACCATCCCACAGGAGGAGAACGGTCGGCTGCGCAGCCGGGTCCTGGAGCTGGAGGCCGGGCGCGGAGGCGACACGGCCGACCTCTCCCGCGAGCTGCACCAGCTGCGTCTGCGCGCGGACAAACTGGAAGCAGAGGGCAAACGGAAGGACGAGGAGAACCGGAAGCTGGCGGCCGGCCAGCCGGACCCGGCCGCCGCCAAGGCACAGGAGGAGAGCATGAAGGTGGGTCGGTAGGCAGCTCGACACCGGCAGCCGGGTCTCTGGTAGATAGAAGCGTGCACAGTTGGTAGGAATATAATAATAGATAGGTCTCACACGTTCATCATCGAATGTGAACTACCTACGCCACATCTTGCACCTTGCTTAGAGAACTCGACTGGATATGAGATTTTTTAACGTAATTTGGGATGTTCGTTATTAACGCCTGTGTTGCAGTAAGTGACCCTAAGGTGGCATCTACATACGTCAGCGTCTGACCTCTGTCCGTCCCTGTCTGTCGCCAGGCTATGGAGCAGGAGAACGAGCAGCTGCGCGGCCAGCTGTCCCGGCTGCAGGACCAGCTGGAGATGGCGCTCTCGGCGCAGGAGTCGCAGCACAAGGTGCTCGACACGCTCAACATGCAGCTCGGGGATAAGATCGCCGAGCTGCAGGGAATCCACACCGAGCTGCACCAGGCCATCCAGACCTAGGCCGGCCGGACGACTGCCGAGCTCAGCCGCCGTGCCGCCGCCGCCACCGCTACTGCCGCCGCAGCCGTGTCGGAGACGCCGCGCCGGTGTGCTGCCGGGCCCGGTGACCGGCTGGTTCTCGCGCGCGTCCATTACGGTGTTGCCGTGTCCGCGGCGCTACGCCGGCCGACGGGCGTGCTCGGAGTGCGGCCACGGCCCGCGCCCGCCATCGACCGCGGCCCAGTCGTATGTGCAATCTCGCTGGCTGCTAACGTTTTATCTGCATTTTCTCACGAGTGTGCGTCGCCGCCCCAGTGGCGCCGCCGAGCGATTTTAGCCCATTAACACAGCGCAGCTTATCTCAGGAAGATGATCGCTGTCTTCACCGCTCGCGCTCGCTGGCCGCAGCTGATCTCTGCCGGCCGCCGCCATGCATTCCATATTTATTTGCTGGCCAGCTCAGCGCCAGAGTCGAGTTTTTCGCCCCCTGATGTGATGTCGCGCCGCTCGACGGGCCGGGCGTGGTGGCGCCCTCCCCCGGCGGGCGCCGTTTTTACTGGGGCGCTCCGCCGCCGCCGCCGACATATGACCACTGGGGACCAGGCGGTTTCATGTTCGTGACTGTGGCGTATTCGTCATGTGTGGCTAGCTAAGGCTACTCCTCCGAGCGTTTGTGTATCATAGTTCGGTTCTGTATATCAGTTTGTAATATAGCACAAACCGTGCGTACAAAACACCTGAGACGAACGCCGCTGGGCTTTGTGTTGGTGAGGGGCGCGTCACTGGCAAGTCGGGTGGCCTGGAGGCAAACACTGGCTGCGCCTGGCGGGGTCTGGAAAGCCCTGCCATTGCAGGTCCTACCCAGGCCACGTCTGCCACACTCGAATGATGAGATGATTGGCCATAAACGATATGAATGTCACATGAACCAGTTGTATTTTACGACACCTCTTCAAAAGTAAACGGACGTGGTGCAGACCCGCACCCCAGCAGCATCCCACTGAGGCAATCCCTAGAGACCCGCGTCCTTCCTTGGGTCGCAAAAAGGTTCGGAATCCGTTTATCCAGCACAGCACCCATCTGCCCCGCCCCGGGGTAAAAAAAAAGGCGTACGGCGTCCCTCTTAGTCATTCAGCTTTGACAACATAAATCAGGCAATGCAAACTGCATGTTCAGGATTACCACGTTGTAGCACATCCCAAGGAACACGTTCCGCTATTAGCTCCACCCAACCCTAATGATGGCCAGAGAGCCTGGTTGGTGCTCATCACATGGCTGGTAACATTCAGAGGCAAGGGACGCTAACCCCGGGTCAGCTTACTAGCCTGGCTGATACACAGGTACTGCTTGTTCCACTCATAAACCCACTGAGGCCGATGAACTGGGCCGCTGGGTATAACTCGAGCATCCGAAATGTTATCAATTACGGCTGGAACGATATGTCCCAACACTGTTGCACCGAGACAACACAAATAAGAAACTCCGGCTCATCCTGATGGGCCTGGTGAAACGTCTTCCACACTCACCAAAACACGTAACAGTCCTCCCAACCCGTGTCCACACTGCGACGCCTCGACACAAAGCGCATCTCGCCACGCATGCATGAGTCGGTACACAGTTGGAGCGCACTGTATCACACCACAGCCGCTACACCTCCATACCCTCTGCGTCCTTGAGCACCCACTGCTGCACGTGCTCCGAGACAATGCCCTCGGGGTCCTCCTGGTAGATGGGGTGCTCCAGTACCCGCTGAAACTGGGCGATGTCCGACAGGCTGCGAAGAGGCAGACCGTGGATTAGGTATGCAGACAGAGGTCGCAGATGGATTCATACAGGTGACATGGTGCAAGAGATGCTATCAGTGGTCTGGAAACTGTTACTGATTGATGTCATTAGTTGCATATTTTTATTCATATAGGTATAGTTGATTTGGTTGGAGATGAAAATGTATAGTCTAAAAGGAAACCATTTCACACGTCTATTTGATCTAGCAAAAGAGCAAGAAATTAACACCCACAGGTTACAATATATCACTCATGGATAATTAACCATAAGATGCCACCTAAAACGCCAAATAATTCACGCACCAGTAGATAGGCAAGTTGGCGTGCAATTTCTGTCGTCGGCGTCGGCGGGAGCGACAACGCGGCTGAAGATGTGTGCCCAGCATAGATAGGCAAGTTGCACATTTCAATCATGTATTAATGTATTGAATGCTGGGCACACATCTGAAACAGAGACACACAGGTATATCAGCGTTATGCCCGTCTAACCAGCTCCCATCCGTTCCAAGGCCGTCCACTTACTATTGTTTGTGGAGGGCCTTCTGTTTGGGCATGCCGCGCCGCTTCTGGCTGGGCTGCCGGCGCTGCTGGGCGGCTGCCTTTTTGGCTGCTCGCTCCTTCTCCAGTAGCACCGGGTCGGGCAGCGCGTCGGCGAGTGGCCGCATGTCCCCCACCACGGCCGTGGCGCGGCGCCGCTTGGCCGCGCGCGCGCTGCGCAGAGACTCCATCACTGAGTCCAACTCTGCCGGGCGGTGCAGCGAGTTAGAGGGAGCTCCGCTTGGTGATGGGGTTTAGAGGAGTTTTGCTGTTAGTGGCTCAGCTAAACACTGCAGGCTGACAGGAGAACAACTTTTAGCAGTAAACTTTTGCTGTTTTGGGCAGTAGCGAAATTATGGAGTACAGTTTGGCGATCAGTTTGCCGGCCGTTACAGTATTTCTAATGAAGTGCTATCCGTATCAAGGCGTGATTACCGGAAGCAGCATTTGCTTAGCTTTGGTTTCAACTGATCTACATAGCGACAGTGTGGGACACATGTAGCAACGAAGCCAGCTAACAGAGGACGATATCTATCCTTACTCTGCATGAAGGCCTCGCGGCGCACTTTCCGTTTGTCCTTTTTCTTCATGGCCGCCTGTCCGCGCACGGTGGACTTTGTGCTGCGCACGGAGCGTGCCGTCTCGCTGCGCACCGAGCGCGCGTCAAAGTCGGGCAGCCTCTGGCGCAGCGCCTCCGGAGGAATCTGCAGACCGGCGAACGGACTGGCGCCGCTCGGGGGCGGCGGGGCGGCCACCGGAACAGCCTCAGGCACCGCCTCGGCATCGGGCTCCGGGCGGCGCGGCACGCCGGACGCCGGCAAGTGCAGCTTCTGACGGGCGCGGCGAGCTTTACCCATGGTGTTATGTTGTGCTCTGAAAAAAAACAATATGATTTATATTGCATGGGTTTGCACAGCAAACATCATAATGACTTAATGTACTATTTGTCAATACACAAGATTTGATGGCAGCCTACTAGCCTATCAAGTAACTAACATCTAAGATCTACCTTCCAGCTTCCTAGCATAAAGATTTAAATCCTACACCATAATTTGATGCAAGTAAACTGCACAAAAAAAAAAAATCATAGGGCACTGGCAACTATGCAGCCCAGTAAGTTATGTGAAGCTTAGTTTCTAGCTCTGGCTTAGGTCTAGCTAAACATCAAATTGACATGGTCTGTGGAATAAAATTTATAAAACAGCAGCAATGATCATGCCTATAAAAATGTAACGGCATGCTGAGGACAGAGATCAAATAAGTTGAATAATTTTTGTCCAGGGTGTCAGCAAACAGTCAAAATTGTTGGACTCATACAAACAGATTATTATAAGCATTGCAAGTATGTAATAAATAGCCAGACTAATTTTGTTCAATGCAGTGCAGTACTACCCTGACCTGACCTAGGTAAGTAATCAAAGGAAAAGCATTGCTGGTAGGCTGTATGGTTTGAAACATTTATTTAGCATGATTACAATTATAATTGCAATAAGATGGAATAATAGGTAGCCTTTTGCTCATAGCTTAAGAAAGCAAAAAAAAAAAAATCACTGAAGAGGTTCCAGCATCAAAAGTATTTTGTTGTTTCATTTCTTAGCTTCTTTTATTTATGAAAAAAGAGTTACTATTCCATCTTATTACGAAAAGAATCATTGTTGCCTACATAAAATGTGAAACAATATAATATAGGCAATAAATGTCTAATGTAGAGCCTATACAATTGAGTAAACAATTTGGCACGAAATCATATAATAGGTTTAAAGGTGTGCACATTATTATTAAGCAGGTTCATATTCAGAATTACGAGCGAAATTACGTAAGTTTACTGTTCAAGTAGATACCTACACTGGATCAAAGACAATCAAATATCAACTTACCTTCTATCCTTCAATGCGCTAACTGCTTACAAGCAAAATCTATTTTGTTGTACTGTAAATGACAAAAAATCACATTACATTATTATATTGGTTATATATCCATACAAGCACATACAATTACCAATATACATTGATACATGCAAGCAAGCATGCAAGCGAAGGCTGAAAACAGAGGGCGCATGGGCGTATGGGGGGATTCGATCAAGGCTCTTGAAATTGTCACGTGATAATTCCGATCTCCAAGACATTTAAAGATGGAGAATTACACAATAATCACGTGACTTATATTCCCTCCAATGTCTCGCCTGCGTCATTTTTTGTAAAAATGCAAAGATCTAATCTACTGCACTACGCTTCTTCTCGGATTTCATGTTAATTCACTGCATTACGCCACATTGGTTCGCATTGTACGGTTCTCCAGGGTATTAGTCGTTGGTCGCTCGGCGAGCGGGAGGGCAACCAGTTCCGCCCCTGTATTGCGTGACCCCTTGCCCCGCCCAGTTACGCACGAGCGTACTCCACGCCGCGTAGTAGCGTGGGGAGGGGAGCGTTAGAATGGTGGCATGTGTAGAGGCTAGAACCAGTTTCCACCGCCATGCCACCGGGCACCGCCCAGCGACATGGAGCGGGGTCAGTGACCAGGGCACGGGGAAAGGTCAGAGGTCAGCTATAACGTAGAGCTTTGTGTCTCCCTTCCCTCCGCGTGTAACGACCGCACGACAGCGGCCGGCGGCCGATCAGGCTTGACATGTCAAGGTCACCCGCAGTCAACGGGCTCGGAGGGTTGGTCGAGTGCGCGTCCGTGGCTGACGACAGTCTCGACCATGTGCTATGGTGCCGATAGACTAGGGTGGGTAGTAAGCTTTTGTTCAGTGCATATGGCTGCTCGGGTGCGTCATCTGATATGATGCTTTGTAATGTGTATGATAGGTTAGGTTAGGTTAGGTTAGGTTAGGTTAGGTTAGGTTAGGTTTGAGGAGAAGAGGGGGGCGGGGAGACGGGTGCCGCCTCCACATGACTATTTGCTGCGAGAGCTGAAATTTTGCAAACCTGACCTTTGATTCCAGCCGATTTGTTTGACAGCAGCTGTATTTTAACCCTCGCTCATATTGGTGTTTTGCCAGCGTACCTATAGCGTAAAGGGGAGGGGGTCCGTTGGACCCCTTTGCCGTTCAGCCCCTGATCGAGTTTCGCAGAAAAAGAGCGTGTTGCCCGTGACGAGAGGAGGCCGTTGATACCCAATTTTAAGGTCCTAGGTCATTTGTTGATAATTCAATATAGGGGAGAGCGGGGAGAGTTGTATCATGTCCAAGTTGTATCAGGGCGAATTGTGCGAAACTTATCCAATTGATGGCGCTCGTGACACGACCAGCCGACGAGGTTTTCCGGGCGCCATCTTTCCCTGTTCTGTCGTGTGGCTGGGTGGACGCGTCTCGAGGTGAGAGCCGATTTTATGTTTTTTTGTCATTCTAAAAAAAATAAGTTGCAGGAAAATGTGTGTTTTGGACATTTAGATGTGCACGAATTTGAAAGATCTCCGTAGCGGTGGTGAGGGTAGGTTCTAAGGCTGCGTGAGTGAGAATGGATTTCTCCAGCTGTCCGCTGTTTTTGAGCACGAGGATGTTTTTCCAAGATGGCGGCGAGGTACATGTTGTATCAGAGCCGGGTGGGGTATGTTGTAACAATGTAACATGCATGTATGTATGGGTATGTTGCTTTTGATCGCGAAAGCTAAGCCCTGGCTCGCGTTTGTAGGTAGCTAGTCAATGCTCGTTCCATTTTGGCACAATGTGTTGGCTTCTTTGCTCTTAACGGGCCACTTTTGCGTCTAGTCTGTTGATGTTTCGTTCGGATTGCATTGACCTAAGTTTGATCTAATAAAAGTGAAGCCTTTGAGCATACCTATACATTGTATCAACCCCATTTAATGTTGTTGTTATGCTCAAAACCAGTAGCAAGCACACTCCCTGAAACGTGAAATACCTAGTGATACAAATTACCCCACCATGTGATACAACTCACCCAAGCCATGGGGCAAGTTGTATCAAAAACATTGTTCTATTCGGCACACCGTAGAAGAAAAACTGGTAGAGGTAGCGGAAAAGTTACTTTGCACAAAAAAGCAGAAGAATCAAGGAAGGAGATAGTATGGAAATAATGAGTTTATCACGGATAGTTACGAGGTTATGGGTCTCGGAGTAAAAACTGATACAACCCACCCCACTCTCCCCTATACTCAAAAGTCGGGAAAATCGGGACCTTTTAGAGCTTCTTAAAGTGAGGCTGTTATAAGATTTTGCAGGGGTGCTGATCACGAATTTCAAGTTAACTTTTATCACAGATGATGTTTTCGTGTATTTAGTCCAGGTCGGGTCAGGTCAGGTCAGGTCACATGTTACGAGGGAACCAAAACTACTTCGTAAATGTTCAAACGGTTTCTAAATGCGAAATCAACTCAAAAATCTACCCTAGAAACATGTAGAAAACGAAGCAGTGAACAAAGGTCATCAAAGGTCAGTGACCTGAATGACCTTCACGTGACCTTGACACCCACTAGAATCCATGGGATCAACATCCTTTCACATGTTTGATCGCTTAAAGCCACAAAAAAGACAATAAACGCGCCCGTAATGTGAGCTGAAATATGCTAAATCGCGATTCCGGCCAAACATGGTCTCGGAAAACAGGTCACAAGTCAAAGGTCTTTTGGGTCAGGGTCATACAAATTTAAGAGTAGGCGTAATATTGATTAACTCGAGGGTACTGAAAGTTTCGTCGCGAACAGCCGCTTTTTGCGCGAGATATTTGCGAAAAACTAAGAGTGGGGCGTCTGTTCGACACCCTCTTACAAGTGCGAAGGTTAAGGTCAGGCCGTTGACCAATGACGTCAGAAGTGAACCTCTGTAAGGTCCCAAAATGTCGCGACGTCGCAACACCCTTCGTGCCAGGGGACCTTTCACTGGGTAATGAAGCTTATATGATCTACATAGTACCTACTATCTCCTAAAGGCCTCACAACTTGTATGTAGTTATCTCGTATTTTTCTTAAGAGTCACCTGAGGTCAGGTCGGTCACGCAGCCTCAGGCCTCATGATTACATATATGACGTCACTAAGGTCACAGGATTTTTCACCAAAAAAGTCCCGATCAAATTGAGCTAGCGAGTCGGGAAGCCACTAAAGGACTTGTGAGGACCTACCGAATCGAATAAGCGATATGACCTCCTTGGGCCAGCTTCGTGTACTGAGTGGCTCTGCCCTGATCATGACCTGAGATGAACACCTTAAATTGACCTCAACAAAAACAAAGCGTATACCTACTATTCGACGCGCTGAGCATGCAAAACTCGATGGTGCCATTGCCTTGGCTCCGTATCCACTATGGTGAAGCTGTTTACCAAAAACCGATCCCGCGACTTGGAGCACTTATACTGACCTCAGAGTTTATCGGTTGACCTGAGACATTCAACTCGGGCACCAGCTGCTGTATCTCATACGATGCACGCGCTCAGTTTCATCCGCAATGCGCTAGCTCAATTAAGGGCGAAAAGACGGAGAGGGATCGTAATCGCCCCCCCCCCCCCCTCGGCCGGGGTATATGCAGAAAGCCCAAAAGTCCGTTGAGGGTTAAGCACTGAAGTGATATATTATTATGTGAGAAGATATAGGTCAAAACAAGTATGCACACGAGCGGGTGTGAATAACCCCGCGTTCGATGTCTCTCGGACCGGACGGCGAAGATTCTACGCCGTCCGGCCAATCACGTTCCAGAACTGCAGCCGAGCCCCCGCTGACCTTGGACGGGATTGGCCGGACGACGTAGAATCTTCGTCGTCCGAGAGACATCGAACGCTAGGTAAAATTGTATTTGAGGTATGCCTTTTTAATCATACGTTCGATTTGCTTTAGTTATTGGTAAGAACAAAGGCAACCAGGAAGAGCGCCCCTGAAGAAAAGGTGGCGCACTTGACGGGTGCGATTTTAAGGTCTAAGGTCAGTCGGGGACCTCTAAGTTCGGGTCAAGTGCTCCATGTTAGGGGTAAAAGAATGGGGGCAAAAAAAGCATCCCGATTTTGGCAGCATCGTCTTCGTCATGCTGTGTCACGGCACCCATCCACTCCCTCGCCCGAAATATAGTTCCCTTTTTGTATCAGTTCTGGCATAATCCCGCACATTATGCTGCATGTTGTTTGTCATGAAAAACAATGCATGTTCAGCTACGTTCTACGCAGTACGCACTATTCACTAACCTAACCACCATCCCACCATCCACCACTAACCACCATCCCGTTCTGTGCTCCCTTCCACCCCACACGAATCAGCCGAGATACTACTGTTAACGTCAGACCCCTTGAGACCCTAATTTTTCGCGATTACTTTTAAATGCGTGAAGGAATTTCAACCAAGCTCAGGACATGGCCGTTTCAAGACAGGCCGAAACTTTTACAATTTAGATATTTTATCGCCATTTCAATATTTCAGGCACTTGTCATTGACTCGTAATGTTAAATTTCGAGCAAGATTTTCATCCGGTGTGTAGAGGCTATCACCAGTCAGTCTGTGATACGTTATGACGTCACAGCTAAGCCCCGCCTCTGTGGTCTTGGCCTGCGGCGGTTTCGGGCCGGCGCGCGGTCACTCTCGCTGTGGCGGGGAGCGGGGACGGGCGACGGTCGAGCGGTGCCGAAAGCCGGCGGAGTTGTGCGTAGCGTCTTGGCTGACAGTGCCCAGAGAGCGACATGATGACTAAGGAGTCATAAATGCTCAATGCGCATTGCTTCTACAATGCTGATATGTTCGCTGATATTTTTTTTTTTATATAAGCTGCATATGACGGGCAGATGGCATATAACTGACATAAGGTTAGGAAATATTCACCTGTATTTAAAGCCTATGGCGTTGCAGATAATGCGATAATGGGATGTCGGATGTCACCAAGTAGCTGCCGATTCGCTATCGCTATGCCATCGCTGCCATCGCTATGCAACCATCGAACAACGCAATAATAAGGCTGGGGGGATCCAGAGCGTCGTAAGCCTCGTCGCAGCTGCGACGTGTCGCAAGTTGTGTAGTAAGTCGTTTTTGGAGGGATCAATTGATGAGTAGCGTTACTTAACCCGCGCCCTGGTGGGGGGGGGCTATTTTTTGCCCCCCCTCCAGACTTTTCGATATATC